GTCTCTGCCGGCCGGCGTCTAGCTGCTCCCTTGCCTAGTCTCTGCTGTGGCGAGGGGGCAGGGCCCTTGATGGGAAGAGCAGCCCCTATTGCCCAGCTCTGACGGGTTGCTGCCCCCATCAAGGGCCCTGCCCCCTCACCACTGCAGTGGCCAGGTGGGAGCATGGCCAGATGCTGGCTGGCAGGGCCCCTTGTGGTGGTGGGGTTATTTCTCCCTCTGTCCAGCATTGGGGGCTTATTCTGCTGCTTGCCCTAAGCAGGGAGTGGTGGCCAGGTAGTCCTGGGAGCAGTGAGGGTAGAGAGGAGAAAAAAGTCTCCTCCCTGCCCATTCTGCCTCAGGAGCCATGGTGGCCTGCAGCTGCAAGGTGGGAGTGCCCAGCAGTCCTGGCTCGGGTCTCTGCCAGTGGGACAGGGACAGGGGAATTAAACTCCTCTCTGGCCAGACTCCAGGCCCTGCCTGTCCCTGCTCCTGCTGGGGAGCAGAGGGGCAGGGCTAGCCCTACTGGGCTGGAGCAGAGAGCCCAGCCCAGAGAACATGACAGGATGCTGGGGGACTCTGGTTTTAAGTTAAACCAGGAAGGGGTCTGGGACAGACATTAGATAAACCGGTTTGAGCCAAATCATTTAAGTCTGATACTACATTCAGTCAAGTTTCTCAAACCAGTTTCAACCATTTTGTGCACTTAATGTCTGTTCTGTTACTGGTTTAAACCAGTTTCTGATCACTTAAACCGATTTATGTGTAATGTCTGTCCCTAACACTTTAGTTAAAGACCAGACACCAGCCTCTCACACCCTGGAGGACACCTCGCTTTTGCCTTTTTATCTACCCCGGGTTTACATCTGGAGACTACCCAAGAGGATCTATAGTTATACAACTGCACAAATGTGTCCGATCCACAGAATATATCCTTATCCCAGAAACTTGAAGTGGTTCTGTCCATCACCCAGTTCTCTAATGCTGACAGCTCTTTTCTCACTGAGTCTGCCATTGAGCTCACTAATCCAATAGAGAATCCCTAGGTTGCCCTGAGCCTAACTCGGTTTGAGCACCCTACCCCGCAAAACAAGTTGCAACCCTTTTCTGCAGTTCCCTTAAAGCTTTGAAACTGGTTTCACACTTTTGCCCACCTAGGGGCACCAATTTGTTATTCTAAATTTTAACTGGGGTTGAAAGTGGTGAGACTGACCACTCTCAACTCCAGTCAGAACTCAAAAACTTTATACATAATAGCAAAGACTTTTTTGTATTAATTTAATGCTTATGTAGCTTTGGATGCAAGGGGAAACCAGGTCCACTGACCAGGCTTCTCTGTTCCCTTGGAAACTTGCTAATTTTGGTTTCCCCTTTTTTTTGGGGGGCGAACTTTGGAGAAGTCCAGGGTTGCATAGTTTAACCATGCTTTGGGGCTCTGCCAGTCCTTTTCCAATTTCTTATGTTAATGCACCTTATGAATCGGTGTCTGCAGTGACTGCTTAACCTTCATCATTGCTGCCTAAATCAAACTTAGGTTGTAACATGACACAACCTGTTACCCATAATTCATACTACACAGGCCTATGATGCACGTCTGACCTACACTTGTCTACTGGGTTCAGTTCCTTACTCGGGCTCAGTTTCAGCCAACTTTTCTAGATTATGATCATCTAGATACCACTAGAAAATGGCTAAATGCCTCATTCAAAGACAAAAGCCTCTCTTCTGCATTCAGATGTTCAATATCCAACCAATGCTGGAGATCCCCAACCTGGGTATGTCTGTCCCTGCCTGCTGTTAAACCATCTTTTTTTTTTTTTTTATTTGCCCAGAAAGTTTAGCCAAAGGCCAACTACAAGCTTATCTAATTTGATGTTTAATATCTTGTCCTGACCTAAATATATATATTGTTCAAGGCCTTTGACCTAAAACTGCTGTAGTAGTTTGATCTCCTGAAATCAGCTGACAGAGCCAAACATTCATTCTTATGCTTCTAACCCTTTTCTATAGTATTAATCATGGACTCCATGTTGTCTTGCTTGAGAGTTCTGGAACAATGTGCTAAAATGGTTTTAATCCTTTCTGGAGGGACTTGCCCAATAAGTAGTAATGGGAAACTGCTCTGCCACTATAAACCCATTCACTTGTAAAATTCTACAAGGATTAATTCTCTCTAGTCTGTTTTGGCACCTGTGTGAAGCTACTAAGTGAACTGGTCAAATGACCTGGACTTAAATGCCACTAATTTGCAGATGATACAGCTTTAACTCATTTTCATCATATAGAACCATGCTGCTATAAAAATAAATAAATAAAAAAAAAAAATGGCCCAATACCTGGATTTGTTTAATTAAAGCAACTGACTGAAGCTGAACCTAAATAAGACTGAAGTTAGGATGGTGGTAGGCAGAAGAAATCATAATGAGTTTACAACCACAGTGTAGTCACTTTGGTTGAAACCAGTTAAAATTGATCAGTTCTTTCCATTTTGCTCTAGTGAGGAACCCAGGAGGCAGTCTTCATATAGACGTTACCTGCAAGTAAAACTTTCTACCGTTAGCAGTTGGCTAGGAGATTGGCTCTTGTTGGTGAATAAGAACTTGGTCTTGGGTATTTTGTTACATCTTGGTTGGACTGTAGGAATGCAGTATGCCTGGTCTTGAGGTCTTCCATCCCATCTGCTAGCAAATTCAAGATTTTGGTCCAGATCTACAGGGTAATTAACCAACTTGGGCCTAGGATAGCTAGCACATTTTTTCTTTCCTTTTTAAAATATATTTTTCTTTATTACACATCTTTCTTAAAACTTCATTCTTATGTACTTCCGCCACCATTATTCATTCCAGTACTGCCAGCTGTCCATTTTTCACCGTGTAAATTTGACTAAAATACATTTTGTCAAAAAATATTTGGAGTTTGTTTCAGTAATTTAGAAAGTAGAAACTTAAATATAAATTTATTTTCTTGTTTTTTGTGTAGGGTAAAGTGATAGAACCACTGAAAGACTTCCACAAGGATGAAGTGAGAGTGCTAGGGAGAGAACTTGGTCTTCCTGAAGAGCTGGTCTCAAGACATCCATTCCCAGGTATGGGAGCTAGTTAAAGGTATCTGTTGAAAGTCAAGAATGATAAGCAGCATTATTATTCTCATGCCAAAGGTATTTAATTCTCAGAATAAATTTTATTATTGGCATTTTGGATTCTTTTCTACAATAAAGAAACAGAGTGGTTGCCTCTACCATGGCTTTATACCCAAGCAGCAGCTTTTCTGGATATGAAGAATTTCCCAGAAGAGACCAAGTTTACTATTTATAGTGAGAAAAAAAATATAGCTTTTCCTGTGTATAGTAATTATTTTTCTTTCAACTTGGTAAGCCAAAAACTCCAAGCTAGATACACCGGTGTATGTTGTCTTTTTTTTCTTTCCCAGGGGCAGTGGTTCTTTTTGTAGAAATAAATTATTATAAAAGATAGCAACAGTTCATGTCCAGATATTAAAAGCAAGTTTTATATAGTATAAAAAGTAAAAGAGCCTTTAAAAGTAATTCCATTATTTTAAAAATATGTAAAGAAATAGGTAGTGTTACTGTTACTTTTGCATTAGTAGTTAGTAACTATCATTGCATAAGACTAGTCTGGATTGTGAATTAGTTTAGGAGTACTGCTGTTCTTGAACTACAAGAGGGGTTTTTAAAACATCAAGCCAAGTTAGTCAGTTTTGTGCTAAATGGCAATAAGGTCATACAACTTTGCATTCAGTAGTTTGAAAAAAGTAGTTGCACCATTTCTCAAATTCCAGCTCCTTCATATAAGAGAGAGGACATGAGGTAGCGGCTGTCTGTATTACTTTTTCTGCTTGGTGACTACTTCAGCATTACTAACTCTCTTTGCCTGAGTCAACCAGCCAATTTCAGACATATGTAAATGATATATGAATATAACAAAAGTTAAATTACTCTTGCTTCAGAACAAACTTGGTAAATATTTTGATTAAAAATGTTGCCAAGCCAACTAACTTGAACATACAGTAGTAAAGTGAATACATTATATTTACTGATAAAACAGTCTCTCCAGATTTTCTTCTGGAATAATTTTTAATGAAATTTTATTTGTGCATTACAGTTTAGTATGTTTGCTTTCCTTTGCAGGTCCTGGCCTAGCCATCAGAGTAATATGTGCTGAAGAACCTTATATTTGCAAAGACTTTCCTGAAACTAACAATATTTTGAAAATAGTAGCAGACTTTTCTGCCAGTGTTAAAAAGGTAATACAATATGGTACCCAATAAGAATGTAAAAACAACATGCAAACTAATGGCTTAGAAAATGGGTGGTGTTTAACCACTAAAAGTAGTACTTGTTTACTTCGATAAATATTCTTTGCCTAATTTGTATGAATTTGAATAGTTTTTGCATAGTTAGAATTCTAAGTGCCCTAACAATCATTTAAACAATAAATAGGTTTTGGGAAGATAGAGTTGATGGAGTACTACATTACAGACAGCAGAGTGTTTTTTAGATTAGGTTTGTAGACTAAACAAACCTAATCTAAAAATTGCTTGCTGACAACATATTTGAAGATGTTTCTGGCCATGTAATTATTACTTTAAAAAAAAAAAAAAAAAAAAAAAA